GCCTCATTTGCGGGTTTCGCAGTATCTCACCCTTCCGTGCCGTACCCATGGCCAAGGAACGCTCCGGCAAGGCTGTTTCGGCTCCGGCGGCCGCCGAGGCCGTCCCAGCCAACCCACAGCCCGGTAAGTTGCGTCCTGCAGCGTCATGCGACGCCACGGGCACGAGCGCGAGCACATCCGCCTGGAGACTGGCAAGCATACTAACACGAAGCTCTCCTCCCATGACAGTCCGCAACTCGCCATCGGCACCCCAGTCTCGCAATGCCCGCATCGTAAACTCGGTGCTTGTTGGCCTGCTGTGGATCAGCACTCTCAGCGTGGCCGGCTGCTTCCTCTCCTCCAAGGACCGCGAGCTCAGCCATATCATGCAGAAGATCGCTAACGTATGCCATCCTCGTATCCTTTGTCTTCATGATGTCAGGGCTGACCGCTCTCCAGTTTCTGCGCGACTACGTCGGCCTCGGAGACTTCAACGACATTCGCATCGGCTCTTTCCAGCCCACCGAGCCCCAGGTCATTGGCACCTGGCTCGGCCTCTTCTGGTCCAGCATTGTCTCCCTCGTCGTCCGCAAGAAGTACAACATTGTCTACATGGCCACCCCCATCTTCGTCTCCCTCTTCCTCCAGTACCAGGGCCGCTTCACCTGGGAGGAATACTTCATCGTCGTTGTCCCCTTCCTGCTCAGCGTCTGGGAGCTCGCCAGCGACTGAGGCCCACACTACCTATGGACTTCTGGGCAGCGATGACGACACTCTCAGATCTTGGCTGGTCAGCGCAGTCGTGCAGGCGGGCAGCCTGGGTGTTGACGAGTACGAACTTGTGTGGTCTTGTGCCAAGATAGGCGTTATCGCCTTTTATAGATTCATTTGGATCCTCAAGGCTCAGCGGGACAGCGATTTGGCTAAAGGGAAGTGCGTGTTTCCTTTTGGCCGGCCTGTGACTGTAGCTCAACGCAGCGTGAGATTTCTGGGAGTTGTGTTTATGGATCGTCCACGGCGTCGATCGGCTTCCAGCTCATGTTCATATGGAGGTACAGTATGCCTTCGTGCGGCAGTGGGAGATTATTCAACTTGCTCTGTCGAGGTTCTGCAGTAGAACAAGACACCCCAGCTAGCTGCAACTTCAGGGCCTCAAGGCGAACCATAATTCGCGCTTCAGACAGGCCAGATGGTGAGGGTTTTGATAGGCTTCATTTATCGTCATGGCGCAAGACGTGTCTGACCGATGTTCGTATCACCAATACCTTGACAAGTGGAAGTCTCACTGCTCGATGCACGAGGTCATGAGGCTACACACGCGTACTCTGTAGGCTATCTATATTGCAAAATAGCCCTGCCAAGAATAGCCCACTTCATGCTCTCGGGCTTTTCCATGTGCTTGGAAGAGCTTCGTAGTGCTCTTGCCCTGCGGTGCTCTCATAAGCGACCGACAAGACGACGATGGTTTATCGACAGTTGCTAATCGCGGCCGGTGGCTGATGGCTGGTGACCAGTTACGTTGCCCCAACGGACGGCAGACCTTCGATCATCGCCGAGCTCGGAAACATTGAGTTCTGTCTGCTGCTCGTGGCTGGGCCCAATTGCCACGATCAAAAGACCAGGGCGCCAGCGTCCTCGAAATCCAGGGATTACGTGATCCCAGTAGTAACGAATCCTTTCTGTTTAAATCGATGGGAACGTCTGTATAGGCCAAAGCCGGCTGTCTAGGCTTGACTTTCCCTGTTCAAGGCGGTGCTTGCACGTGCTGAGAAGGCCTTTTTGCTGCATCAACGGCCTGGCGCAAAAATACGGAACACATCGTGATCGTGGGATTGGGTCGCTGAGGCAGTCGCTTCATGACCAAGAGCCACTGCGCAACTCGAAACTTGGGAAGATATCTGGCTCTTTGCGGCTCCTGGTCATGACTTGGACAGCGTGCGCAGTGGCTCTTGGTCATGAAGCGACTATGTGGCTGTGCTTGCTTCTCTAAGTTTGCGTTGTGTATAGCCACCGAGCCAGCCGAGTATGACGCTACGACAGAGCTCACTGCCAGTCCAGAGCAAAAGCGATGCGGCGACAATCGAGACTGGTGACATGGCCGAGTGCGGAGTACGGTTGCTATGTTTGTTCGTGACTGGCGTGTAGCAGGTAGTTGCGGAGAGCGCTCCTCACTTTTCTCTCACTGGAGATAATCGCAGAGGGAAAAAGGACCGATTGGGTGAGAATATAATGTGACTACTTCGAGCATCGGGCCGGTCCTCTCGGTGATACCACAAACTTCGGTGTTCATATACGAGGCGGGAGCCCACGTTTCTAGCGACAAACATTATGCCTCCGCTTATGTATCGTGATGCCCACATGTAATTGCAAAACTGGCCAATGAACTGTGGTTTAACACACCGGTTTCAACGCAGCCAAGATCTGCAATTGCTCCTGCCTTGATATTTCATGCAGTCGGGCATAGTTTGGGACGCAGGCATTTCTTGATTGGTCACCATGCGGATCAGTCCTGTCGGATGTGCTGCCTGTGGTTGCAGCAAATGCATTCAGTCCCACATACTTATTAGCCGCGGTCTGGATACTCTTTCGAGAAGACCGTGACGCGCGAGTATCTGGATGTACTGGTATTGGAACAGTGGAATCGGTCCTTGCTGGGATCGGTGCATCCTCTGGTCGCTGCGTGCGTCCCTCCTGGCCAGACGACCGTCTCCAACATGACAGCCGAAGTCTTGCATATTGGCTGTGGACCCGTTGCAGATGGACGTGCCAAGAGCGTGCTACGAGATATATACTACCAACGAGACCAACGAATACTGCATTCGAACAGTGCCATGCAGTCTCCCCTGTGTTATTGGAGGACTAGTATCCTCGGCGTAGCAATGTACATCGGCCTTCAGCCTTTTTCTGCAACATCGGCTGCCGATCTTTCAGTGTAAAAAGTTGCACCTTCTGTTTATCCGCTGCTGTACACCTCCTCTGACTCCCGCTTTGATTCGGAAAGCCCGATGCGCGCGTAGTGCAGTCGACACTAGTCATATCTCTCGACTCCCGGGTTCTCAATCATGGGGCCCCAGAGCTTAGCCTCCATGAGGTCTTGGACATCCGGGCTGAGGCTTCGTGTAGAGCAATCGTTAATGCTTTGCAGAGTTGCATTACGAACGCATGCTTGCGGGTGGCCAGCTTCTCGATGAGGGTCCAATGGCCAACATCTCCCGAGCAATCAGGTATGCGGCAGATGTCGACAGAACTGCAGAGTCTTCTCGGTAACTCTGTCCGTCGAGCTGGCACAGGTGCCCTGCCTGCCGTCCCCGCCAAAGATGGGAATGCAATATTGGTGAATGCCTATGGAGTCGAGGCAGTAAGTTAAGACGGTCTGCGACGACCACAACGACCACAACGTGTGAGAACACACCGGAATGGACGAGTACGATTACTGGTCTGTTGAAGTCATCACTTGCAGACGAGATAGAGCCTTCCGTCGGAGCCTACCCGGCAGCACAATTTTTCAGATTATTGTTGCTCTGGTATCGTCAATGTTGCCGCTTTCGGGTGAGGCTCAATTGGGCGGTCAGCATGGCGGACAAGGGCAGGGTACGCTTATTTGTTGTCTTTGACGAGGACAGCACGACTCGCTGCGCCTGCACTCCGGCCCCATCCTGCTGCCTGCTCTGCAACCTCACCGTTCAACCTGCGCCACGACTGCGAGCACAGCGACACGGGCGCGCGATGGAGTACTCGGACAGCAGCTCGGAGTGGTCCGAGGATGACAGGTACTGTACATTCTGCTCTGGGCGGCGGCCTATGTTGCACGCACTCTGCACGTCTGCATTGCTGACCATCCCCCGCCACCAGCCTCGCGACGTGCTCCCAGCCGCAGGAAACAGACGCCTCGCAGCCGCCACACAAGGGCCTCGACGGCCTCGCGCTGCATGGCTTTGTTCTCGGCATTCTGCTCACCGCGGCTGCCACCGTGACGGCCTGGTTCTTCCTCCAGCCGCCCTTGTCGCCGCAGTGCCGGGCGCCTCACTCGCCGCACTGGCGCACGCCTTTCTTCCTCGCTAGCATCGCCTCGCTGCACGCCCTCGAGCTCTGGGCCATCACCCGCTACGCGCCAGAGCAGGCGAGCAGCAAACACCTGCGCCTTGGCGCCGGCCGGCGCACCCACATCGTTGCATACACTTTTGCGACGGTCGAGTGCCTCGTCTCGCGCTACCTGTGGTGGTTCCCGTTTGGTCTCCCTTTCGTCATGGAAGTTGCGGGCACCATGGTCGTCGTCGGCCTGCTCGTGCACACACTGGCCATTGTCCACGCGGGGCCTGCGTTCCTCGACGAGGTGCGGAGGCGCACCGGCAGCACCAGCAGGACGCGGCCGCACGCACTCGTCACGACAGGCATTTACCGGGTCATGCGCCACCCGGCATACTTTGGGTACTTCTGGTGGGCGATCGGGACGCAGCTCATCATGGGCAATGTCCTGTCGCTGCTCGCCTTCCCCATTGTGCTCTGGAGCTTCTTTGCAGGCAGAGTGCGCGTCGAGGAGGAGATGCTGGTTCGGGTCTACGGCCTGGAGTACGAAGACTACCAGCGCAGGGTCGGCACTTGGATGCCTTTCATAGGCAACACATGAGCAATGTCGATCGAACAGTGCTCAGGTCAAGGACAAGATGTCTCCAAATGCGATGACGCATTCGACCCGTAGTCGATCACAAAACAAAGACGACATGTCATGATATAGACGATAAATCACAATTACGTCGTGGAAGAACATTGCGGAAAGCCTGCGTGCAAAAGCTTGGCGGGCGAGGAGTGGTGGCCTTCTGGAAGCCCTGCCCTGCCTGCTGCTGCATCATGCATGATATTGCCATCGGGTGTGGACCCACTTCGTCCCTTTTTTGAGTCTCCGTGGCTCCACTTCGCCGAGGACCAGAAAAGCTCTTCACGACTCGCCGGCAAGGAAAAGGTGCAAAAAAAATTCGATTCTAGGTGTGATGATCCTCCTGAGGAGGATGCACCGGGAATTGAGCCCGATGCGGGGGTCGAACCCGCAACCTTGAGATTGAAGAGTTCTTAAGAGTCTCACGCTCTACCGATTGAGCTAACCGGGCAGTCTCTGTTGAAGCTGCTTGTTGAAGACGATGCTGGCTATCAGGCCTTATATCTCAGACGCCTGTTCTCATCCGGACCCTGTGCTCGACGAGACCAGCTCTGCTACCTCGGGTGACCGCCGATTCCTCACAACGCCAGCCAGCAAGTAGTGATGAATGCCCAAACCCATGCCCATGTCGCCTAACGCCAAACAAATCGAATGATGAGAGATGAAGTGGAAGAAAAATTAAGTGCTCGCCTCAGACCTGACCGTATGCCGCCGCGCTGTACTCTGGCGCATTCAGTCCATTGTTCTTGCGCGCCCGGCGCTCCTCCTGCTCACGCATGAGCTGCTTCTTGACGACGCGCATCTTGCGGTACACCCAGGCACCCATCACAATGGTGATGAGGACAGTGGCTACCGTGACACTCGTCTTAATCCAGAACTCCGTGTTCTTGGTGTCACTCTTGTTGACAATCAGGGTGCCAAAGTAGACGAGGACGAGCTGTTTCGGGAGGGTGAGGAACGTCGCCAGGGCAAAGATCCAAAAGTTGATATCGCAGTTGGCGAATACGGCTGTGGAAAAGTGCTGCGGGATGGCCGAGAAGCGGACGACAAAGATGAACTGCCAGCAGCGGTGCTGTTAGTATCATGCCCGGGTACGCAGAACTGCATGTTTCTCGTAACAGAACTCACCCAGAACCGACTCTGCCGCGCCAGGCGTGTTAGTGCTCCGTAGTTGATGTTTGTACGCTCGAGCTTGTGGCAGTGCTTGTACAGCAGCTTCTGGAAAGTGAACCACGTGCCAACTAACGGTTAAGCGCGAGATAACTTGTCAGTGGGATGATTCCTTGAGATATGGTGCCCGACAGGATTGTGATGCTCACTCTCTCCAGCAAAAGTCCCGGCTGCGACGATGCCAAAGCCGATCCACAGGCCCCAGACGATTCCGCAGAGCAGGGCGACAATCTCGTGGCCGAAAAGTGGCGGGAATGAAATGACAAAGAGAATGACGATCGGGATGAGCCAGCCGGCTGGGAGGTCTCGCATCGACTCGGCCCATGGGCGTAGTTTCTATGCGTAATGAGGTGGTCAGCAATACCCCCAAGGACCTGACGGGTAGGCAGCTTGTCACAAATGGACGTCCCGTAACGTACCTCAACTGCCTGATCATGGTAAGCAATCAGGAGGATGGAGATGACGATGACAGCGATTGTCAAGATCCAGACGGCTGCACCATGAAGCCATCAGTCAGTCCATCGAGGTCCTACTTATTGTATATTGACTGGCAAGTGTCTTGCTCACGGATGTATTTTGGCTTCAGCAGCGTCTTGTTGAGGGCTCTCCAGTCTACCGGCTGGTAGTCTGTGTCCTGGTCTTCGGGGCGGGTGTTCTTGTCGTCGTGGATGAGGGGGCGGTTGTCGCGGTTGTCGCGGGAGTCTTGGTGGTCGAGGGGCAAGCCGTCGGCGCTGTTGCTGCGTGAGCTCTGTGGCCTGTGGGAGGCGGCCTCAGGGGCGGTCATGTCGATGGAGCGGAAGTCCCTGGCCGAGTCGACATTGTGCATGATGTAGCTGGGCCCTTGGTAGGGCGGAGGAGCGCTGTGGGGGGCGGTCGCCATGGTGCGGTCGTGTCTGTGCAGGTCGGATCTGGGAAAAGGTCGCGTCGAGGGGTGGATAGTCAGTGTGAGAATGAGAGGATGGAAATGGACAAGGAGAGGTTGACAATGCCATTGACAAGGCCAGAGGAGCCAAGGGAAGGGAAGGAGCAATGCTGGGGGGCAGGGCAGAGATGGGGATGTGCGGAGGTGCGTCATCAGGGCCCCTGAAACGTGGCTGTGAGGCGTGGTAGGTGGCACTGGCCCTGCCTCCTGGGCAAGCCTCCAGATGGCCAAGCTTTGCTGGCGTCGATCGCCACTAGCGAGAATCCCTGTGGCCCATCAGCCGGCCTTCCGAGCCCCCGTGTTTGGGGCTGGGGCTTTGGCGTTTGGCAGTTGTCCATCCAGGCCAAGAGGCCACCAATCAATCATCCGTGCGCGTACCTACCTTAAGGTACCTTCAGGCAAGGCACCCTTTGCCTGGGTGACACAGCAGGACCATGAAACGGTGCCTGTCTTTGTGCTTGTGTGCTTCTGCTTGATCGAGGCAAACACCCCGCAGCTGCCAATGACGGCAACCCCGCGAGCCTGGACGTGACAGGATGCGGCTCATCAACCTCGACACGCTGCACCTCGACGACTTTATCAGCAGCGACGACGTGCCCCCCTATGCCATCCTCTCCCACACCTGGGAGGCCCGCGAGGAGGTCAGTTACGCCGAGTGGCTGGCTGCCGAGTCGGACCCCGGCCTCCGCGACCGCCTCAGGGCCAAGAAGGGCCACGCAAAGATCCTCGGCGCCGCCGACAAGGCCCGCGCTCTCGGCTATGGCCACCTCTGGGTCGACACAAACTGCATTGACAAGACGAGCTCCGCCGAGTTGTCCGAGGCCATCAACTCCATGTTTGCCTGGTACAAGCGCAGCAAGGTCTGCCTCGTCCACCTCGCCGACGTTGCCGACGTCGCCGCACAGCCTGGTAACTTCTCCTCTGGTCCCGACCCCGATTCCGGCCCCGGCCCGGACCTCGAGCAGAGTCGCTGGTTCCGTCGCGGCTGGACCCTCCAGGAGCTGCTCGCCCCGCGCCGCCTCATCTTCTACTCGGCTAGCTGGCAGCAGGTAGGCACTATTTCGACCCTCGAGAAGCGCCTAAGCGCAATCTGCGGCATCGCTGGCGCCTACATCCGCAAGGATGTGCCTCTCTGGAGCGCTGGTGTGGCCGAGAAGCTCTCGTGGCTGGCAGGCCGCACCACGACCCGCGAGGAGGACATGGCCTACTGCATGCTGGGCATCTTCCGCATCAACATGCCTCTGCTCTATGGCGAGGGGTCGCGGGCCTTTGTCCGCCTCCAGGAGGAGATCATCCGCCGCACAAACGACCACACCATCTTCGCCTGGCACGCAAACGACCACGCATCCTCGGTCAGTCGCCACGAGGTGCCTAGCATCCTTGCCCGGAGTCCTCGCCAGTTCGCCCGCAACGAGGCCTGTCCCGTCGACTTCTCGACCACACAGGGGCACAACCCGGCTTTTGCATGGACCAACGCCGGGCTCAACATCGAGGTGCCCATCATCCACTGCTACCGCTCCCACTACATTGTCCTCGACGCCAACCTAGCCTCAAACCTGCGCCACCACGATCAGCGCCTCTGCTTGCCCATTGATGGGAACCTGAACAAGGGCATTGTTGGTAGGGCCACCGTTGCGGCCGAGCCCATCATCATGCCAGTCTCCTGGGCGCCCGGCTACCGCAGCCTCTTCTTCCCGCCAAGCCCTGAGAAATGGATCAGCTCTCCTCGCCGACGCGATCTGGCTTCCTCTACGGCTTTTCTCATCACCTTCAACAAGGCGTGCAAGGGCACGTATCCCATACTTGTCTCTGTGGATACCGCCAGCATCGCCAAGTCTAACGACATCAACCTGGCGCTGACAAGCCATTTTGATCCGTACAGCAGCCTGCTCGAGCTCAGCTCGTCGCAAGACCATTTTCATGATAGTGACAGCACGCCGACGGACGAGACACCCGCCACCAGTCGATTTAGATCACCGTTGTACGAGGCAATGCTCCTCCTGACTGTCGCACACCACAAATTCCTGGTGTGGGTCTGCCTTCACGAGGTTCTCAGCGACGAAGGCGAGGATGACAGCGAGAACGCCAGACACAGCGAGGACGCTACCAGAAGAGCGACGGCGCACTACGTGTTCCCTCCTGTCGCGGCTGCGACACCCACGAGCGGGATGCGCGAGGCCTGGTTGCGCGAGAAGAGGGCATTCCTGTCGGCACGGCGGCGCAAGGCTCGACTCAACCAGAAAGGCGTCGTCATCACACGAGGCCCGGCAACATCGGTCGAGGGTGTCCGGACTTTGGTGCCGCTACACTTCCAGCTGAGCGCGGACTGCTACTCTTGAGCCGATTCCATCACCAGATGAGCGTACGGAACCATCATGAACCGAATCTGCGTGAGTTCGCTGACGGTGAACATGTAGATGCATGGTACGAAAATGTTCACACAGCTCCGCCCAGAAGGTGCAGCTCAACCTGTTGAGGTACGCGGCTTTCCCGGCCAGTAGCATATTACGATCAAGCACGCACGAATCTGAGCAGCATCACACAAGCTTCTGATCGCGATGATCGCATTCTTTCTGATTCATTCATTCGTCAAGCTAGCTCAAAGTCTAGCATCTATCTCTAAGTATATCTATCATGTCTAGTAATTCCAAGCAGCCTCCACCTTGCGAAGGACTTCGCAGGGTTTACGGGGGCGATACAGGTACAAGGGAAGGCAAATCTAGAGAGCCTTGAGCATGGCGTCGGCGCTCGAGACCTCGAGAGCCTGCAGGTGGGGCTCGAGCTCGGCATAGGTGACCTTGCCGTGGTCGACAATCATGCCGTAACGGTTGGTGCGCTCGCCGTCCTCGGCCATCCAGCCGAACTCCTTGGAGAACTTGGCATGGTCGTCCGAGGCGAAGATCTGTGCGCGGTGGTGGTCAGCTGTCCTGTTCGGGAGAGGTCACACACGAGGAAGAGGAGCTACTCACCAGGAACTCGTCGGTGACGCCGTTGGCCTTGCCCCAACCGGACATGACAAAGGCATCGTTGTAGGCAAGGCAGATGACCTGGTCGACGCCCTTGGCCTTGAGCTCATCCTTCTTGGCAATGTACCCGGGGACGTGGGCGGCCGAGCAGGTCGGGGTGAAGGCGCCGGGGAGGGCGAAGATGATAACCTTCTTGTCCTTGAACTCTGCAGGGTGGACGAACAACGAGGTCAGTAACGTGGTCTTGATGCTGTGCCCTGAACATCAGAGAGGAGGGCAAAGAGCGAGATGCTAGCAGACGTACCCTTGGAGGCGTTGTACTTGATGGGCATGCCACAGGCCGAGAACTCGGAGGTCTCGGGCGCAGGAGGGATCCAGGTGAAGGAGACGCCC